CAACTTAAGAAACCATGTTTGGATTATTTTATTTGCAACTAAACATGATAATTGTAAAGAATGCAATGTATTATAACAACATATAATTGTCTTTTCTGGAATCCTCTAGTTAAGCACTATAAACTGCCAATCTCAAATGTCCTTGTCACATTACTATGAAATGTTTCAAATAGATTATCTTGAAATTTCCTGTATTGAAATTATAAGAAAAGCAATGGCCAATTCTTATTCACTCAATCATTTAGCTGACAGTAATTAAGGTATCTAACAAGCATACAGTCAAGTAGTCAGTCACAAAGCTATGATATCATGGAATACATATGAGGCTCCAGTTACGTCTTCTGGTGAAGAATTTCTTTTAAGGGGATAATAAGAAGTAATAACATTCAGTTATGTGCTGGTAAGTATTTAACAACCAGCTCACAGCACCTGAAGATAGGAGCTAATTTTAGCATTGACCAATTTCCATGGTGTAAATACACTAAGGCTCATATCAAGTTATCAACATGATATAACCAAACATGTTTGGGAAAGAAGAGCAGTAACAAGTCGTTATCTTTACCATACAGATATTGATAGATGCAAATAACTTGACACCATAACTGTGACTATTAGCAAAATGTGGTAAAACAATTAGAACCGTTAATTTTTGGTTTTGGTGTGTTTAACAATTAGCTAATATAATCCCTGAATTTTTTTTTTAAAGATTTATTTATTCATACATATAGAGCTGGGGTACAGGCCAGAGGTGCAGAGCGTGAGAGGATTCACCAGAGACAGAGAGGGGAGCAGAACAGGCTGATCTACGAAGTACACCGCTGAGGGGAGTGGCGGGCGGGTCAGGAGAGGTCTGCAGCGCCATGTGGATCTCCTCTGAGGCAGGCGGGGATCGAACTCATGCGGAAGTGGCTTAAGCTTCTTAGTGCAGTGCTTTAACCCGCTGCGCCACCAGGAAGGGCCCAATCCCTGAAATTTTTAACATTCAGGTCACACATACAAGTAAGACTTTTAAATATTAAAATATGTAAGGATTTCACAACTTTGTATATATGAAAGGCCTCATGATTGCAATAATGAGTACATACATAAAATGCTTGTTTAAAATCAAAGATATATCCTTTATATTAGCCCATATTGCATGCATGATATACAAAATTTTTTTCCCATTCTGCAGAGTGTCTTCATTTTCATAATTTCTATCATTGTGCAGAAGCTTTTTACTTTGATATTTATGTTTGCTTGTTTCCCTTGCCATTGGAGTCTTATCCCCAAAGAAATCTCCAGAATAAGTGCCATGGAGTGCTTTGCCTATGTTTTCTTCTATGGATTTTATACTTTTAACCACAATATGAAATGGGCTGCCTAATTGTAGGCCCTCACTTGATTGTAGTGCACCTAAAATGACCTATAATACTAATATTAATACTGAATATTAATTCAATTTCAGGCATACACAAAAGGTTAATAAAGGGTTTATTTACAAAAGTAGGGAAAAGGAGTAAATGAATATTTCAAGGAGAAAGAGAAGATGATAATTTGGTAATGTGCCCTACCATTTCCACCAACCTGGAATTCCAACTGCATGCTGAGAGCCAGCGAAAGCCAAGAGTAAAGAGCAGAAGGAACAATCCCCTTCCAAAGCCCTGTCTGGTTTTATACCAAGCCTGGCTTCTTACCTCCAACCTTAGGGGGCAGTCCTCACTTTGGTGATGATGTGATTTTTAGTTCCACATGTCTGGATGGCTTTGGTCTGGAGTGGGGGTGGAGCCCACAAACCCTGTGTAGTTTCTTCAGGGCATTCTTTCCCTCTAACAGTTTCAAGTCTCATAGCCAAGTTTTTAATCCATTTGTGTTAATTTTTGTGTATAGTATGAGACAATGGTCTAGTGTTATCTTTTGCATATCACTATATAATTTCCCAATATCATTTATTGAAGAGGATCTTACTGCTCCATTATATGCACTTGAATTCTTTTCCACATAGCAACTGTAATTAATTCTCAGCTCTCAATTCTGTTCCATTGATCTAGGTGTCTTTTTAGCCCAATACTATATTGTTTTGATTACTATAGTTTTGTAAAATAGTTTTAAGTCTTGGGAGTGTGGTCCCTTTTTTCTGAATTTTTGTCAGGTTTATTATGACTATTTTGGGTCTACTGTGGTTACATATAAATTTCAATAATGTTATATTTCTTAAAAGAATGACATTGAAAATTTGATAAGGATTGCATTGAACTTATACAATTCAAAAAAGAAAACAAATAATCAAAATTTAAAAGTAGGCAGAATAGTCAAAAAGATATTTATTCAAAAAGACATACAAATAGCCAGTAAGGACATGAAAAAATGCTCATCTGGAGAATGCAAATCAAAACCACAATGAGATACCACTCACACCAATGAAAATGACCCATATCAAGTGCTGGCAATAGTATGAAGAAAACAGAATTCTCATATACTTTTGATAGGTCCAGTCCTTTTAGAAAACAATATGGATTAAAATAGTATATTAAAAATAGATGTGCCATGTAATCCAGCTATTCCACTCTTAAGTATCTACCCAAAGATACAAAACACTAATTCAAAGGGAACACTCCTATGTTCATTACAGCACTATTTACAATGGCTAAATTATGGAAACAATGAAAATATCTAAGAACACAAAAGTAGATTATAAAGATGTGTCAGATATATATATAACAGAATGCTACTCAGCTTTAAAAACAACATGAACATTTTCCATTTGTGACAGTACAGGTGGAACTGGAGGGGATTATGGAAAATGAAATAAGTCAGAAGGGAAAGACAAATACTGGATGATTCCATTTATATGTGGAATATAGGAGAGAAAAAAAAACTAAAATAGCCGGCCCTAGATATTAAAACCAAAAATACTTGCCATCACTTTTGTACTGAAATAATTCCCACTCATTCAGTTCCATCTGATTTCCCCTTGTAAGAAGCAGGCAACAAACAGCTCTATCTGCTATGAAGTAAAGGCTTATTTCCCCTTAAGGTCATATGTTGATCTTCTTATCCCCAGTATTACAGAATTTGAAGATGAGATCTGGTAGGTAAGTACATCATGAGGGCAGTGTACTCATGTTGAGATTAGCACCCAAATAAGGGACCAAGAGCATATATCTCTTTCTCCACTATCCATCAGAAAGGACACAATGAAAGAGCTCTATGTACAAATTAAGAAGTGGTTTCTTACCATATCTTGGACTTTCTAGCATTCAGAACTGTGAGAAGCAAATGTTTGTTGTGTATATCACTCAGCTTATCACAATATGCCACAGCAACCCAAGCTAAGACACCATGTTCATGAGGTAGGGAAAGAAGGAAAAATATATAGAAATTGGACTTCTGGGCCTCTCCCTGGTGGCACAGTGGATTGGAGCGCTGCACTGCTAAGCTAAGCCAAGCTGTGGCCACTTCAGTGTAAGTTTGATCCCCGCCCAGGAGGTGATCCACATTGTCCACCAGACCTCTCCTTCCTCCCCTGCTGCTCCCCTCAGTAGTGTATTGGTCAGTCAGCCTGTTCTGCTCCCCACTCTGTTTCTGGTGAGTCCTCTCATTGCCCCTGCACCTCGGGCCTGTGCCCATTTCTGTATGCATAAATAAATAAAATCTTAAAAAAAAAATTGGACTTCTGAAATAAGCCTCTAGTAGACTATTGCACAGCCAAGTATACCTCTTATCTCCTAGTAATAGTATAAAAAAAAAGTCACTTTTTTCTCCATTTTGAGTTCCATTATAATGATATTCCTTCTGTTATTCTACCTTTGTAAGTTCCTAAACTGAAGAAAAGAATGAATGTATTTTCTTCTTGTCCAGACAACTAAAGTTTTCTAACCTACCTTCTTGCTTCTCATTGTGTGCTGTTGGTCTCCAATTTCATCAAAACTCCACCATTCCTCTCAAAGTCTGTCACATTGGGCCCTCCCTGATGGCACAGGGGGTTAAAGTGCAGCACTGCAAAGCTGGCCACAGCCCCTTCATCAGAGTTCTATCCCCAGCCCCAGAGGTGACCCACATGGCATGGCAGCCCTCTCCTGACGTGCCTGATGCTCCCCTCGGCAGTGTACTTCATCAGTCGGCCTGCAACATTTAAATCTTTGTTTAATTTATGACTAATTGTGAATCTACACTCAAAGAGTTACAACTAATCGGAGAAACTTAAGAGTGATTTTTAAGCAAATAACCATTCCTTTCTAGTCTTCAGCTTCTTGATCTATAAATTGAGAGCGCTTCTATGGGAACTTTTCATATCCCTTCTGTACTTCATGATTGTATGATTTCATAAGATAGCCAGCCTCTCTCACATATAAATAAAATGAATGTACATTATTTGTCTTACAGAATCCAGTTTTACAAAATGCAATTATAATTTAGAGATGAAAAACAATTTATTTGGTGCATCCAGTGTACATGTTCTTTTTTTTAAAGATTTATTTATTTGTGCATACAGAACTGGGGTACAGGCCAGAGGCTCAGGGGCGGTGAGAGGCTTCACCAGAGACAGAGTGGGCAACAGAACAGGCAGATCGACGAAGTACACTGCTGAGGGGAGCAGCGGGCAGATCAGGAGAGGTCTGCCACACCATATGGTCACCTCCGGGGCAGGCTGTAATCAAACTCATGAAGAAGCGGCTTTAGCTTCTCAGTGCTGTGCTTTAACCCGCTGCGCCACCAGGGAGGGCCGTGTACATGTTCTTATACTAACAAAATGTGTATTTTTTTATTCTGAAAAAAAAAAATAAGATCAATTCTGAATATACTGGCAAAAAGGGAGAATTTGGCCATTAATAAAAATATTTTGACTTTCTATTCCCTATGTTAGTTAAATAAGGGAGTTTTCTAGATATAATAAAGGATTGACAAAGAACTTTATGAACTGTATCAGAAAATTATCGCTATACCAACAATCAATACAGATTTTTGAAACAGTAGATAAAAATACCCTCCGATTCTCTTTATGCTCCATTACTTTTCTCTCAGAGTCCAGTCTTGGCTGTAATCCAATCACGAAAAGAAGTCACTCGAGTGTAGACTCCCGGTCTATTCATTTCACCACATCCACTACCCCAGCTTACGATTCCAACAAGGTGCCAGATATTTCTAGAGTTAGGATAAGCGAGTGGGCCACCAGAATCTCTCTAAAAGAAAAAGGGAGAAGTTTTTCTTGTTCTTTCACAGAATTTATTTTTCCTCTCTTCTAAAGAGTTATCGATAATAACCCCTTGGCACTAAAACCAATCCACCTTATTGGACTTAAAACTGTGGAACATGGCTTTTTTTAAAAACCCAGGCAATTAAAACTTGTGATACATTGCCCACGGCTGCCAAATGTTGGATGGGCAGATTCGAATTTGATTTTATGAAGAATCCAGTCTTGACTATGGGAAAGTGACTCGTTTGTCCCTAGGAAGACTTTCTGGCACCAGCATACTAAACTTCCAGCTGCATCTCTGGATGAGGAAGAGATAGTGTTCCAGGTCTATAGGTTGCCCAGAAAATAGAACCCAATTTATTTTATTACCTTATAAATATCTATATAGTTACCTAGACTAAAAAGTTTATGAGGGCAAGAACTATATTCACCACGGTAGCCCCAATGATTAGACTAGTGTCTAGACATAAGTAGGATTATAATTATCTGTTATCTGAAATAAGAAGCTATGGTATAGAAATAATTAACATAAAATATATTTTTTGTTAATAAAATCTTCCAATATTTAGTACTTTGGAGAAAATGAAATGATAAGATATCTAGGCCTACCAGACAGGCATCAGCTTTTCCTGACATGAATCCAGCACACAGCATTGTATCTGTCACAAGGCCATATAATGCACCTGGCGCACTGCAAACTTTGTTGTCGATAATCTTCAAAAAGGCCTGTCGAAGGATCACTGGAAAGGGACCTAAAGGCAACAAATTCTCTTTATTATGAGGATTATAGCTTTATTGGAACAAAGACCAAAGAAAAAGAATTCTTTTGTTAACTAGCAACCTAGCAGTCCTAGGCCAGAATATCTTTCAGAGGTTTATTTTAGCCGGCCTCATCACAGTTTCAATTTTTCAGCTCCCTTTTTCTGAGCTATTTTAAACATTGAAGACAGTGTCATGCTTTTGAATCTACCACTTGTTTTCTTTTCATTATATTGATTGGTTGAGAATTGCATGGGAAAGTAATTGATTTAGTACTTGGTTGCTGATTGCGCATTACCATGAAACTATTTCATTCTGATAGAAAAACTTACCAGTTGCAGAAAGTCTTCCCCATCCTGTGACTACAACACTATCATTTTCTGAGAGCTGCAGGTTGGCATCAGGAAGACAAATCTTACGAACATCCTTAGTAAAAGAGACTTCTTCAGCAAGTTCCATGAGGGCAATATCATTATGCATTAGTTGTTCGTTATAATTTTCATGAGAAATAATGTTTTGAACTTTCCGTGTCATAACTGGTTTATTTATTGAAATTCCAAAGTTGACAGTCCAATCTTCCAAATTATTTTTCTTGCTAGACACAATTTAATTGAAATATATTCAGTTTCTGGGCAACAACAGTATTCATAGTAGTCATTATCTTATAAATCACTTAAATAATTGTTTGGAAAACTGTCTTTGACATGGGAATGTCATGAGAATTGTCATTGACATCTTCTACTCCATTAGCCCCATCCAGTTTCTCATCATTTAACGTGGCTAGAAATTCTAAGAGCAACCTCAGGGGATACAAGATCACTGATTAACATTTAAGTCTTGGGTTCTGGACCTGTGGAAGACCCAGGACATCTGAATTCATTTAAAAAATTGCAACTTGCTCTTGACCAAACACCCTATTATATTTGCAAGTCAATGCATTTGGATTCTGACTGAGTTTTTTTTTGTTTTTTTTTGTTTTTTGTTTTTTTGACCAGGTTCTCAAACTCCCTAGTGGGACTCTCTTTAATTAGTTATTAGCATCCTATTTAACTATTCTAACCTTCCCTCAAAACACCAGGTATTTTTTTTTAAGTTTCTAAGGAAGGCCTTTATGTAACTGATTCTTTGATGTTTCGCCCATTTTAAATCCTTTATTGGTTCCACGTGTTCAACAGCAATGTTCTTAAACTCTCTTTCCCTAGACTCAACGCAGGCTCCACTTCCAAAGATTTAGAATTACAAAGTTGAGTGTAACATGACACTTAAGAGATCTTCACATTTAACAATATCAAGCTTTTTGAATAACAAACTTCAGGAAAACAAACCTTATAGGGATATCACCAATCAATATACCTAAATTTTCTACTCATCACTTCTAATGATTCATTTTACAAAATCTTTTCTATTTCAAATGGCTTTTTGTGAACTATACACAAAATACAATTTATGCTGAAGAAGGCTGTTACCCAACCCCCCCAAAAGCAAACTTTCTTTTCCTATCAACCCACCCATATCAACCTACTCATATCTTTAGCATTTAGATCAAATCTTACATTCTTCATATCTCAGTCATCAAATTTCCATAGCATTTACTATCTGTGTCATATTTTCTTCAGTTATGCTGTCTTATGCTTTTAATAAATCACATATAAATTTCTTCAACTCTTATAAATCTCTGAAGGACAAGACAAGTAAGCAACTAGTGACAGGAATCAGACATACCTGCATTTATATTCAATTTTTAAAAAAGATTTATTTTTTTTTAAGAACTGGGGTTCAGGCCAGAGGTCGGTGGTGTGTGGGGGGGAGTTGGGGGTGAGAGGATTTACTAGAGACAGAGTAGGGAACAGAATAGACATCTACTGAAATATACTGCTGAGGGGAGCAGCGGGAAGGTCAGAAGAGGTCTGCTTCATCATGAGGGTCAGCTCCCTGGCCCATGATGGAATTCGTGCTGCAGTGGCTGCAAAAATCTTCATAATGCTTTGCTTTAACCCTTTGTGCCACCAGAGAGGGCCTCAATTTTTGCTTTTTAAGAGATGTAAGATCTTGACCACGTTTTGTCCCGTTTCTTTAAATAGGTTTAATTATACCTTGTATTAGAACCAGTGTTATTATTAAATAATATTACATAAATAAAACACTTAATTTCACACCAAAGTAGTTACTGAAACATGTGAATTGTTTCCATTCATTTTGCCCTTCTACCGAATTGAAATGTCTTTTGCCCTTCAATTATTCAGGTAATTGTAAATTTCACAAGGCCTTAGTGAAACTTCACACATTAAAGCTACTCTTCCCAGACTTCCCAAAATAAACTGTACCCAGAGGCCTACCTTTAGTCAGCCATTTACACTTACTTAGCAAAGCAGTGAGCTGCAGTTAATAGCCACCTGCGGCTTATCAGGGAGGCTCCGCAGAAGTGTAGACCTTTCCATTGCAGACTGGCCTGCCAAGGCCACACCCCCAAAAGGGCATTTTTCCCATTCACAATTCGGTTGTCTGCTATACTGTTGACCAGTCGCATTCCACAACCTGAAGGAGGGTTTATTTATGCAAGTGTAGGTATCTTTGACTATGCTTCATGAAAAATAGAATTTAAAACATTCCTTGAAACCCATTAGTGACTATCCGGTACTTCTTAAACTACAATGTTTCCAAGAAGTGATTCTTGCTTACCATAAGCCACATTCCATCCTGCTTTAGGTGACTAAATGTATACTCTTTACCAATCTCAAGTTTCTTTCAGTCACTGACTGTTATTGTGTCTGTTTATTATTGTCTCCTGAAGTATGGACAAGTGTTAAAAATGGAGACTTTGCTTCATTAATGTCTACATCTAACACAGCATAATATTTACAGTGCTGTTTATAAGGCCCCATACGGACATGAGATAACCTACAAATATCCAGTGAGTGAATAACAACAGGCATGTGTCATGTTGTGGGCATGTGACACTCTACAGAGAATTTATTTGAAAGGTAGAGAACTGATTTGTACTTTATAATATATGTATTTTATAAGACCAATTTTATGTCTTATTATCCTGTTATCCTTTATTTCATTCAATCTTTCTTACTTTAATTGATTCAGATATGATATTCTTCCTTATCATTTGATTCTTTCACAACAGTTCTCATTTTTTCTAGACAACTTTTAAATGTTAAGATTCAATTATACAATATATATACATATTGAACCATTTTGTTGTACACCTGAAACTTAAATGATTTATATGTCAATTATATAATACTTTAAAAAATAAATTACAAATATATTTGGTATGTTCAATAATTTTGAAAAGTAATAATTATTTCTATAATAATTGTTTCAGGATCCTTTTTAGAAAAACAGTGGGAAATATTTCTAAGTATACTAAATTTATAACAAAGTTTCTAAACTTACAGTTGTTGGTAAGTAATTCAGCATTAGCCTTGCTCATTTCTGAAAAGTAAAATAAGACATAAAATTGATAAAATATCACCAAGCTGGCCCTCCCTGGTGGCGCAGCGGGTTAAAGCACTGCACTACAAAGCTTAAGCCACTTCGGCATGAGATCGATTCCCGCCTGCCCTGGAGGAGTCCACATGGCGAGGCAGACCTCTCCTGACCCGCCCGCTGCTCCCCTCAGCAGTGTACTTTGTCAATCTGCCTGTTCTGCTCCCCACTCTGTCTCTGGTGAATCCTCTCACCCTCTGCATCTCTGGCTTATACCCCAGTTCTATATGAATAAATAAATAAAATCTTTAAAAAAAAAATATCACCAAGCAATTATTTTTACCCCCATGACATAAATGCTAACAAGCAGGTTATTGCCTTTATAGTTTTCAAGGATATGTAGACCATCTGTTACTCTGGAGAACCACACTGGGTTCTGGGGCCATAAGCTTATTAAATATGGCCTCATAGAACTTTTAACCATCTACATGGGAGTTTTAAGATCATTGTAGGAACTTTCAGATCTTTACAAAGTTAATTTTCTGTACTATGACAAAATCTTATCATTTTCTTCCTTTGTTTTTAGGGAATTCCACAAGAAGCAATAAGAAATCCCTACCCCCTAATTTACTTTTTCTTCTGTAATTTCCACACTGAATGATGACCAAAAAACCCTTAATCTGCTTCCTGTATTGAAATCCTATAAAAAAGTACTGGGTAGGAAGAACTAAGCCTTCAATTACAACTCTTTATCCCCTTTTTCATATATACACCAGCCAGTCCAAACTTACAGCTATGTCTGCAGCTTAATCCCCATTTCTACCATTGTTCAAAAGACTCAATGACAATACACCCACAGATAAGGAGTGCCAGTGTTTAGGAAGCATATTTTTTTTTCCTAAGCAAAATTTTGAAACTTAGTATTTTTTAAATTTAAATCATCCAGAAATATAAATAATAGAAATAAGTAAAATACCTGTAAGTTTAATGGAAGCAGGAACTGCATTCCAGGATGCCATATTGTCTTGCAACATCTGATGTAAGACAGGTTCAATTTCAGCCTTCATGTTATTCCTCTTTGCAGGAGGAAACTTTAATGTCAGTAATAACTGCACAGTAGAACCAATGGTAAGAGGACTAGAAAGACCAGAAATGTTTTAGTGTGTTAATTCTTGAATGTTTTGCTTTGTGAACATATAGAATTTCTCACAGTTTAGTCATATGTTTAATTAAATAATTTAATGTTTTCTATACATGTATTGACATATATATGTCCAGATATTGTTCCTGTATGTATAAAGTACCAATAATCTTACAGGTCACCTTCAAATATAAAGATTACAAATTTGTATATAACAACTCTTACCCTGAACCAAAAATTTTTAAACACAATAAAGAATTCTCCCTCCCTCTTTCCCCCATTTTCCTTCCCTAACCCTTCCTTCACTCTCCCCCCTCCCTTCTCTCAACTTTCTGTTTTATGTTATTTTTGAAAACTATGGCTGATGGGCATCTTACCTAATTCCTTTTCCATAGATTGAATAAATTTGTACTTACAGAAGTTTGATGACCTGAGAGCTGATATATTCTTTGTATATATTAGAATTTTGAAATGCATCAGACATCTGCCAAATAAAAAGCATCACTATGTCTATCTCAACCAAATTTATGATGAAATTGGTAAAACAATAATCTCTGATTTACCTTAGTCTCAATGTCTTTGTTTAGATTTGTGCCAGCTGGTGAAATTGCATTTTCACAACTAATATTGTATGTGACTCCAGAAATATGAAATTCAACTTGGTAATAGTAAATCTTTGCTGTGAAAAAAAAAAAAAGAAAGAAAGAATTTTAAAACAGTAAGTGATTTAAGTCTCCCATACCTTTGTCTCATAATTACCATTAACCCACTTCTCGAAATAGCCAGAGAAAAGGAAAAAGGGTGGAAAAAGAATATCACTAATTTTAGAATTGTCAGCTACCCAACACTAAAGTGATTCTCTCCTACATTCATATGATAATATGCTTCACTGTGTTACTGAGGTCAGGAATATCCTCAGCATTTTCCTCAAAAAGGCAATTTAGGCAGACAATAGTAATCTACCCAATATGTGCTAAACATGAAGCCGAATATGTAATATAAGTTCTTCCTCAAGTGATTACCCAGTTGATCTTTCTAAGCATTTCCAAGTGTAGCCCTTTGCTTTCTGGATGAACTCTTAAGTTCTTCGCACCTTTTCTTACTTGCTCGCCCCATGGCCTAAAGGTCTGCTTTCCATTTGGAGGTCACTTCTTCAGCTCTTTTGCTGCCTTCCACTTTCCTGCAGCATATGTCGACTGTTCTGTGTGTCACAAGATCTCACATTCCCATTTTTTCCTGTCACCAGTGTAAGCTACTTCCCCTGATATGCTAGATCTCAACAATTTAAAACAGGACCAGACTAGAAATATTTCTTTCAAAGCATATACAATGCATATATGTACTCTTTTCAAAACAAGAATTAATATGAAATGGTACACTCTCTTGGTTAAGCAATTAGCCATCCAAATATTTTGAAGGGAATTGTACTTTTGATCTACCTTTGTAACACCATATAGTTTTTAAAGAGTGTTAATAATAGACTTTAAAAAATGATCTCTTGAACTGAAATATTTCATTATCCTAGAATTCATAAATATCATTTCAATCTAAAATAAATAATTGGTTTCAATCTAGATACCTATAGTTTCATACATTATCCATACGGCAACATATATGCAAACTGTATTTTGGAAGAAAACTAATTAAACTACTGATCTCCACTGATAAAACTTATTAACACTTAATTTAGAAAATGCAGAATATGGTTCTTAAAAAAATTATGCAAAGGTTATTTTTTAGTGAGTAGGCAAAGAAGGGAAAAAAGATCCAGATTGTGGAAAGTTTGTAGATAGATACAGCTTCCAGAGGGCAAAGAGCATCATTACAGTTCTAAATCTTAAAATTAAGTTTCATTAGAGAGAAGAATTAAGTTTCATTCATGAGAAGAAGGGTTGAAAAACAAATTGTAAATGTCCCTGAATCAGGTAAAAATTTAGCCATACAGTATCATTATGTGTGATATATTTTAGAGAAGTAAGTAGTAGCAAATCATGATAAAGCAGAAGAGTACACTTAACATAGTAAGATCTTGGTTTGTGTCCACCATGCCACTAGAAAGCTTGTGCTATCAAGCAGGTCACTTTGACTTTCTGATCCTCAGATTCATACATGAAAAATGAGGAATAGTAGTAAAACCTGCCCTCCCTGGCTTAAAGGATCATTGTGAGGATCAAGTTAAGTAGTAGAAGTCAATTTTTTTATATTGAATGTTTACCCAATTTTAAGGGTTTACTTTTCTGAAAGATAAAAATAAACTACAAAGCAAGTTTCCCAAGTATAGTACTAATAATAGTTTTAAAAACATGATCAAGTTTTTATAAAATTGAGACATTCAACTAGTCTTGATTATCTACTTTTAAAAGAGCCTTTTGTCAATTATCCATTGCTATTTAGTGGTTATATTTTAACAACCAATACCAGAACTAAGTCGTCAGTTTGGTACAAATCTCTTACTTAAATCCTATAGGGACAATAAATATTGACATCAAAATGTGCAGTATTTCCCTTAAATCCTTATTTCATAGTTGGTATATAATTTATAGGGTAGATCAAAGATATATCTGATAAAGATTTTTTTATAAATTTCTGTGTTCATATAATGGAAGATTATTATGATGACAAAGTAGTAAGGAGATGAGAAATCATTTTCTATGAAGAAATTAAATATTCATGTTTCTTCTTGTCAAACCAATGTTACCTTCACTTAAAAAAATAAATAAGTAAAGGGATTTATTAGTAAGTAGTAAATTAAAATAGTCAGTACTGACCAACTGCCAGAAAATAAACAAGGAGACCAATAGTTACTCCCAAGATTGCTGCCACACCAAGAAAAATAAGGATTGTCCTCCATAATGGCCAAGAGCTTCCTTGGGAAGATATGTTGTACCTATAAACAAGAGGGAATATTGTTCAAATCAAGTAATACCCATTGTAAATCTGCCTGACTCTCCTTCAATATACACAACATGCTATAAATTTTTAATGAAGCCCTATATTAGCTTAAAACAGGAGACTCAAGTGTTTGAAAGAAGTTAGACTCTAGTGCTCATTCCTATTTAAGTACTATGTTAATTATTGAGGATACAACTATGGACAGACATGGTTTTTGTCCTGATGTCATTGAGGAGAAATCAATTTATCTAAAAAAGGATACAAAACATTAGCATGGTTTAGTTGTCTTTTTGTAAAGGATAATACCTCAGGAACAGAGTATATAGACTTATCAACACAAGTATGTAACATAATTTGTAGGTTTAATTAATTATGGAGGAAAATACTGTGATGTTGTCAGGTTACCCTATGTTATGAAATTATGGGTAGACTTATGTACTTTATTTTATACAATAAACATAGATTGCTTGTAAAGTATGTTAACAGGTAAGTTTCAACAACAAAATATCAATTAAATAGAAAATAAATAGAGAATTTGACAGTATCATACAGAAAAAATGATCAAGGATTATGATTGGGTCTTGTGACAGCCCTTACTACACAAACTGGCAAAATAGAGGAGTTTAAAATCAGTGGACATATTTGGCAAATTAGATATTTCTATAATATGAAAATCTTCTTATTCTAGTACAGGACCAACTGATTTTTAATGTAGAGAATTTCCTTTCTAAAATAAGCACATATGTATTATCTTAGACAACAGCAATGGAACACATTCTTATTTCCTTCACTCTCTGTTCTATTCATAATTCCACTTCCTTCTTATAGCTCTTTCATAACTTATTCAAATTCCTCAAAACTGACATTTCATCAGAGAAAGTCCCTGTTTCAGATACATTCGATATATGTTTCATATGGAATTCTGTTGTTTAATATCATCCTCAAAACAAAGAGGTTGTTCAGATATAGTGTTTCTTATACTAAATTACTCACACTTTATTTTTTAAAATGTATTTATTTATACATACAAGAGTTGGGATGTAAGTCAGAGATGCAGGGGAGAAGAGGATTTGCCAGAGACAGGGTGGGGAGTAGAACAGGCAGATCTGCTGAAATATACTGGTGAGGGGAGCAGTGGGAGAAACAGGAGAGGTCTGCTGTGCCATGTGGGCTAACACCTGGCTGAGGATTGAACTCAGGTTGCAGTAGCTGGTTATAGCCCTTTGCACCACCAGGGAGTCACTAAATGAACCACATTTTAAAAGGAATATGGGAATGTAAAATTCATAGCATTAATGACAACATTTACTATCTGAGTAAATGTTTTTCTAATGATTAGAAAAGGTTCATGAGGGCCCTCCCTGGTGGCACAGCAGGTTAAAGCTTGACACTAAGAAAAGGTTCATGAGGTCTCAAATTTGTTTTGGAATATAAAGCTGTAACATTCTGGTAATTTAGTTTTTCTGAGACATGTGTTAGTTTGAAAGACTCAAAAACTATTCAGCCTAAATGATTTTATACAAATAATCACTGCATTGCACTAACAAATTGTTTTTCTTTGAAAGTCCCTTTTAGTTATTCTGGAAAATTCTAAAGACTATGTATTATAATCAGTGTTATTTTTCTCCTCATTTATTTCTTCCCATCATAAATAATTAAGTATATTCTTTTATATTAAAAAATCATGATAGTTTGTAATCTAATAAAATTTTCCTCTAGTAAATGTGATTCGTGGACCCTAGAAATTATTTTGTAATAGCAGAAATTTTTTGAAGCAATCTTCTAACCATTAAAATGTCCAAACATGAAACTATTTATTCTTATTAACAAATTCACTTTTAGCCAACATTTTATTTTAAAGGTAAGAATTTCCATTCCAGGGTGAATTCGTTAGTTAGAAAAGAAATTGGTTAAAAATCAGTCTCACCCACTCTAATTTTGATCCCATTTTCCACCCCACCCCTGATTTTTACATCATTCTTCATTTTGTGGCTTTTTCCATCTCAGTTGTAATCCCTGTGGACTTCCCACCACCAGTTCACCCATGTGATGGTACACAGGGATAATACCAAGATGGAAAAAGGCACAAAATGAAGAATGTAAAAAAAAACTTAAAAAATAAAACAAAAATTAGTCTTAAATGAACTTAACTAATGTCAGATGATTAAAGTATTTTGCCTCATTTCTGAATTGAATCTACTTGAAGCAAGGACTTACTGCTATTCTGGCATAATCAGAAATTTGCCTTAATAAAATTACAGATAACATTATTAATAAAAGTAACACTATTAATAAAAGTTGGTATTATTTCTAGATCAGATTTCCTTATAACCACATTCTAATATTCCATTAGTGATTAAACTGAAAAGTATAACAAATTAGAAGTTTCATTTTTTAATTTTCCTGATTAAATCTCATTGTATTATAGCCTTATATAAGTTTCAGACATGAGTTGTCAAATATCATTCATTTATTAGAACTTTCATTTTAAGAACTTCATTAGACTATTTGAAGATGTCCCTGAATTACATTATATAATAAAGAACTGTGAAAACAAGATTCCAGAATAAAATTTCCTAAATTTGATAAAGATAAAAATACTTTTGTTTTATGCAAAGAGCCTTAAATCACTAGAGAGAGAGCTGTGAATGAGAAATGGGAAATTAATCATCAAATAAGCTCAATGATTTCCAGCTATAATTTTCTCCTGAAATCTAGCAAAGCAGAGAGAACCTATGGAAGGGATCTCATTCAAAAATTGATGAAATTTGGTTTGTCAGCAGCTAGTTCAGGATTGTAATAAAAAGGACATTGTTCTAAGAACCTATACTGACATTCAGCTTTTTAAATATTTCTAAGAAAACATTTTAGATTAAAAACACAATTTTAATTACATTACTAATAGCTAATATGGTAATGTTTTTATGGGTGGCTTAAGAAAAAAAAAGCAAATTTTGCTGAATTTGGCTACTTTTTTCCAACTTTCTGCATTTTACTCAGAGATTGTACAGGGCCTTTAGACCTCAGAAACAGTATCATGTTTCTTGACAGTGTCCAGTAATAACTAAATAATAAAAAAAAACAACAAATTAACAAAAAACTAGAAGGCACTCTGAATAAACTTACTAGGTTTTGCAGACTTCATTTCCCAAATCCAATCCCATTTACCTGTACATGATGTTATGATTGTTGTGTTGCTGTCAGGGCAATGGTGCTGGTAATGATGATGATGACTGTGATAGTGATAATAAAAATAAGGATCTTCTGGTGTGGCTTTTAAGGTGATGGATGTTTCACTGGTTCATGTGCTTTATCCAGTGTTGGATGATTTGTTTTCATGGGCTAGGTGAAATGTAGAGAACAAGTAAGATGAAGCTGGTCTGACTAGTGTTAATGACTCTCATATTTCTATAGTAATCATCCAAGGAATTACAAACTTCCTTGACTTGGTTATTTAAAAAAAAAAAAAAAAATCCTGCCCCTGGTTTGGTCACTGACAAGGTACACCCAAGCAACAGCTTTGCAGGAAATCTGGATAATCCCCTAAATCTGTGTTTGACCAGTTTCTGATTCTTGCGCTGTCTGCTACTTCCTCAGCTGAAATCACCTGTAATTAGGTAGATGTCTCTTAGAAATAATTTTTCACAATGTGTCAGCTTTAATGTAAACATTGTCATCATTCTGAAGTAAAAGAAGTTTTAGCTCATTGTGGTTCATATTTGCATTTTCTTACATTACCACCAAAAATGATTATTAATTCACATATTTTAGGGGGAGCCAGGTTTATTCCTCTGAGAATGGTGTTCATAAATTTAGATTGTTTTTTTCTATTAGATTGTTTGACTTTTACCTTATGGCTATATGTGAATTTTTTAATACACATTAAATGTTGAATATGAAGAATTTGGTAGTTGCCCAGCAGCTTCATAGCTAAACAGACTGAAAGATCAACAAATCTTTTAGAAGCCAAAGCAGAGGGAAGGACATGAGCAAACTGAATGCCCAAGACTGAAAAGAAGATCTTATTTACATGATCCTGGATTCCCAAATGGAAACTGCTTCTGAACCTATGCCTAGCTAGGAAAACTCTGAATCTGAACAATAGCTGAAAATGTCAAAAGAATAGAAATCAGTGATGTCTGGTATCAGGTAACAATGTAATTAAACCAGAAACCAGGAACAGAAAGATAACAAATCTCAAAAATAGAGGACTAGATCGTAAAGAACATTTGGATCAAAAACTAATCTCAAGAGAAACTTAAAAATATTTTGAGGGTCCTGCCTGGTGGCACAGTGAGCTAAAGGACAGCACTGAGAAGCTGAAGCCACTTTAGCATGAGTTCAATTCCCAGCCAGGGAGGTGACCCACATGGTGCGGCAGACCTCTCCTGATCCACCCACTTCTCCCTTCAGCAGTGTCCTTTGTCGGTGGGCCTGTTCTGCTCCCCACTCTTTCTCTGGTGAATCCTCTCCCAGAGGCCCCTGCATCTCTAGCCTGTACCCTAGCTCTGTATACATAAATGACTAAATCTTAAAAAAATATATTTTGAACTAATTGAAAATAAAAACATAACTTAGCAAAAATTTTTTTTAAGATTTTTTTTTTTATTCATACAGAACTGGGGTACAGGCCAGAGATGCGGAGGGTGAGAGGATTTACCAGAGACAGAGTGGGGAGCAGAACAGGCAGATCCATGAAGTACACTGCTGAGTGGAGCAGCGGGCAGGTCAGGAGAGGTCCGCCACCCCATGTTGTCACCTCTGGGGCAGGCGGGGATCGAACTCATGAGGAAGTGGCTTTAGCTTCTTAGTGCAGTGCTTTGACCCGCTGCGCCACCAGGGAGGGGCCCTAACTTAGCAAAATTTTAATGTCATCATCTACACTTTTATAAAAAAAATCACATATAATTCATTTTGTATTTATTTTGAGGTAGGAATAAAGGTGCATTTCTTTCATATTACTATTAATAGATCCTGCTCACATTACTGGATATGTA